GCCTGGACTTTGAAGAGATTTAACTGGGAGGATGATGGGGCCTGATTCATGATTGATATTTCTAAAAGGTCACTCTGCCTGCTGCCTGGAGATTGGACCGGGGACAGGCAGGAGGATGAGGGAAATAGAGCTGCTGCTGCATCTCAGGCAAGAAATGGATTGCAGCCTGGACCAGGCTGGGGCACCAGAGGGGGTAGTCATTGCTCACAGCCTCTTCCCTGGAAATGCTCCTCTGTGGTCACAGGAGGGAGCCTGGGAAAGCTTGTCCTCTCGGGTACAGATGGCCAGTCCCAGCACTGTTTTCCAAGTCGTCCTCACCAGGATGTTGTCGTCATGGGCCTCAGTGAGCAGAGGGTGGGCCTCTTCTGGGATGGGGGCCCTGGGGCAGGTGAATACAGGCAGGCAGATTAAAGAAAACCACTTGGTTTTTGGTCCCCAGACTCCAGGTCCCAGCTCCTTGAGGGCCCCCAGGGGAGCCCAAGTCCTGAGCTCATCTCCTGTTTGAACCCTAGCAGAGCAGACAGTCCTGAGGCTGACTGATGCCTTGTCCTGGTCCCTTGGAGCAGAGCCATGGGTGCGGTGAGGGGTGCTGCCCAGGGCAGCTGGGCTCCTTCTCAAGTGGGAGACACTTTTTCCCATACAAGGAAGGTGTCCGCTATGAATGCCCACCTGTGTACACAGCTTCGTTGGCTGGGCTGCCGCCCTGGGCTTGGGCAGATCGTCCGGGAAGGCAGGAGCTGGAGCTTACTTAGACAGTGGCATCTTTTCAGCTGGCAGCCAGGAGACTGAGCTTTGAATCAGCTTTGTAATTTGAAAATTGGTCTCTTTGCATTGGGTGGTTATTTCCTGCTAACAGAAGCCATCAGAGACACAGAGCGCTTCCCTCCCTCCACGCTCTGCTCCGGAGCCACCCGTGTGGGGTCCGAGATGGAGCTTTTCATTCTCAGATCGCCGTGTCCTCTTGTCGTGGGCCCCATGGGTTCTGATGGAGCCTCGGACTTGACTGGGGAGTCAGCCCAGGGCATGGGGGACAGTCACGTAGGGTGGGAAACAGTCATGTGGAGTGGGGGAGGCTGAGCTGGGCCTTGAGGTATAGCCTCGGCAGGGGCCAGCCTGCAGGGCCACACATGTCTCTTGTGTGTGTGCGTGCATGTGTGTGTATGTATGTTTGTGTGTGCATATCTGTGTGTGTTGTATGTGTATGTGCATGCGTCTGCGTGTGTATTTGTGTGTCTGCGTCTGTGTGTGCATGTGTCTGTGTGCATGAATGTGTTTGTGTCTGTGTCTTGTGTGTCCTTGTGTGCGTCTGTGTGTGTATCTGTGTGTGTCCGTGTTTGTCTGTGTCTTATGTGTCTGTGTCTTATGTATCTGTATGTATGTGTATCTGTGTGTGTCTGTGTCTTGGGTGTCTGTGTGCCTGTGTGTGTGTCCACACACCTCCCACCCCCATCCTGGTTGCAGGGCTGCAGCTGTGCTCAGGCTCCAGGACTGAGACACTGAAGGTTGTTTTCTTGCCCTCTGGCTGGGGAGGCTGTCATTCCTCTTTTCCCCGCGGGCCTGTTCGTGTGTGCTTCTCCAGATGGTGCTCTCCTGAGAGGTCCGAGTGCTCTGGGAACGGTTCACAGTGTAAATAAGGTCACTGAGGCTCGAGTGGCTCCGAAGTCAGCCCACCCAGACCAGCCTTTCCAACTGCCCCTGGGCTCCGTGGGGCCCTGGCTTTGACAGCTTGGGGCCCAGGATGCACCCACGCCAGCCTCCCTGGGTGATGGGTGTCTTCTCCGCCTTGCTGCACCTTGCCTTCTTTTCCGACATCATCCGTGGACTCTGGGATGGTCGCGTTGGCACATGGCTGGTGCTGTGAGAGAGCTTGGGGGGCTGGGGGACACCTGGGGGCAGCAGGGAGGCAGGCACCGTCGAGGCCTCACGTCAGGACAGAGTGTGGCCTAGTGGGTCCTTGTGTCAGAGGGGTTCACGGCTGCTTCCATGGCCCTGTGGGAAGAGGAGGGGCTGATCCAGGAGCTCCGGAAGAGGCTGGCCAAGCCAGGGGTCGAGGAAGGAAGGTGGCTTCTCAGAGATCAAATTGGCAAACAAGGTCACAGCCCCTGCTGGTGAACCTGGTAAACACATGGAACCCGGCCACGTCGGACCCGCTTGGTCCAGGGTGGCACGTCCACCCGCCTCCACCCTGGGGGCCCCGGGGCTGATGCCATGCTGGATGGTGCCTAATGAGGGTCACATCAAACACAAAGGGTCTTCTTGGGGTCAGAACTGCAGGCCCTTCACCCCGAGGCCGTGAACTGGGCAGGGGGTTCATGGCCCCCTGTGAGCGCACACACGGAGTGAGTGGACGCAGTATCTCCAGCCTCACTCCACATCCTCAGCTCTCGTGGGTGATGGGAACCCACACCTGCTGGTTGTCACGGCGCCCTTGTGCAGCAGGTGCCTCGATGCATCACGTCCTGTCTTCCAGTCTCTTCCTCTGGGGCCTCATAAGAAAGGCAGAGGCCTGGCCGAGCAGGCTCTCCCTTGCTGTAAGCTTGGGACCCCCCACAGTGACGATGGCGGTGAGCGTGCGAGGGACAGGACCCCTGTCTGGAAGGGGTTGGCTCCTCTGGGTCCTTGACGGAGACGCGGAGCCCGTGTCTGCAGAGCGCAGGCCATGTATTGAGGAGAGCTCAGAGGCTGCTCTCCAAACCGGGAGTGGGGGTGGGGTTCTGATGCCACGGGGACCAGATGGCGCCGGTGCGGGAGCAGCTGCCATAGAAGGGAATGTGCAGACCAGCTGTCACCTACGCGGACCTGGAGGGCTCCTCTCGGGCCCAGCGGGTGGGTCACGGGCACCTGTACCTCTGTGATAAAATGCCACCCACCCGCCTCTCCTGCCTGCACAGCCATCAGTAACCTGTCGTGATATGCCTTCCTGTCGTGCTCAGAAAAGTCCCAGAGCCCTTGAGGTACACAGCGCGTGGGGGTCCCATCAGTCAGGTGGCGTGAAACTGGAAACTTCCACGTGTCACTGGTGTGATGGTGGGAGGACGTAGACTTGGGAAACTGGCAGGAGTGGCAGTCCAGACAGGTAGGGGCTTTGAGGCACTTGAGCAAGCGCATTAGGTCTGCAGGGGCCAGAAAGCCAATTGAGGTTACCTTAAGTGAAGTTACCTAAGGCATAAGGCTGGAGAGCTCAGAGGTGGAGCTGGCATCAGGGGTGGCTGGACACAGGAGCCCAGCGGTTGTCAGAGTCTGTCTCCAGGACGGAGTGTCTCTGGGGTCTGAGGCTAAGCTGGGTCACGTGCTCATCTCTGAACTGGCCCTTGTCAGGGACAAGGTCGGTGGTGAAGGTGAGAGGGCCAGCTGGGAGCAAAAGTAACTTTGAAGGGAAAACCTAGAAGGGTGAGCCCAAGTTGATTGTGGGAAGGAGGGGCACTGGGCGAGGCACCATGTGGTCAACGGGTCCAGCCTGTTCTGAGCAGGGGGACGGGGCCCCAGAAGGCGGCCAGCAGCTTCCCTGGAAGAACCCCGTGCACATGACGCAAAGAAGAGAGTTATTGAAGGAGGCTTGCAAGTGATGTCCGCGCCCCTGGCCTGGCTCTGGCCACCCTCTCCCGGGTGACTGATGTGGCCTCCAGATGCCAGGCTCTTTGCCCACAATGTCACCCCATTCTCGCAGCACCTCCTCATCCCATGGAGCCTGGCCAGTGGCCAGTCTCAAGGTCACAGGTCATCCCAGGGCCTGGACTGGGTCGGTCTCTTGGTGGACCTTGTAGGCTTCTCTGGGGAGGTGTCAGTGGGCAGACAGGGGAGAACCCACCAGGCCCGGGCCGTGTTGTGGGGACAGTCTTGGAGCTTTGTGTTGCCTTCAAGCCAGAGCCATGCAGAGGTGTCTATGCTGGATTCCTCTGGGTCCTGCCCAGGTTTTCTGTCCCTCTGTCCCCTCCTGGCCACACCCACTACACACAGCGCCATTTCCCAGACGCCAAATGCTACACAGTGAGTCACCCCGAACAAGTGGCTCTCTGCAGCGCACACTGGGCTGCTCCGGTTTTTGCAGGTCAGGAGTTCAGGAAGGGCTCCCTGGGCCGTTCTGGCTTGGGGTCTTGTCGTGGGGTTGCAGTCAGATGACAGCTGGAGTCGCTGGGGGCTGGACAGGACTCCCCACCTCCACATAGGCTGGTGGGGCTTCCTAACAGCGTGGGGGCCCAGGGCTGGCATTTCAGATTTTCCACTTACCTTAGAAGTCGCCTCTGTGTCACCTCTGCTGAGAAAACGATCACAGAAGGCCAACTTATGTCAGGAAGGCGCATAGATCCTGTTGCTCAATTGCGGGGACATCATGGGACCTGCTGTCGTGATTTAAAACCCTCACAGCTGCTGGCTCTCCTATTCAACAACACCCATCCCCAGATGGGTTTGCGGTACCTGGATGTCACCTTGCTTTGGTCCAACCCCTTCATTTAAGATTCTTACTTTTATTTCGGAGCTCAGGTGCAGAGATTTGAGTGAATTATACCCTTCAATTTGCTGTACATTTGTCAGCATTGATTCATGCAGCAGCTCTCATTCATTCATTCTTTTTTTCCTGTCCCCATATCCTGTTCTCATTTTGTGCCTCACCTTCTGTAGACAACCATTCTATTCTATTCTATTTGTATGTGTGCTTATAAGTATATATTTTAACTGCCATGTGTTGCATAGCATATTTCTCTTTTTCTGCATCCTCCTCTTCTCGCTGTGTTTCTGAGATCCCCAAGTGCTTAATGCATATTTTCCCCTTAAAATGAGGGGAGAGACATGTCCAGGGTCACACAGCTGACCTGGGCTGAGCTCGGACCAGAGCAGACCCAGGGTCACACTCTGATGTTTCCATGGGTCGCCTCCCCGAATCCTGCAATGGTTTGAAATGAAATTTTTTAAAAAATACTTGCGAGTCTGGGGCCCAGATCGCATTGCCAGGGCTCCTGGTTCCCCCCCGCAGTGACCACTGTCCCTGTCCTCTCCTGCAGGTCCCAGCTATGGGAGCCCGCGCCCGGCTCACGCCAACATGAACGCCAATGCAGCCGCGGGGCTGGCGCCCGAGCACATCCCCACGCCGGGGGCCGCCCTGTCCTGGCAGGCCGCCATAGACGCGGCCCGGCAGGCCAAGCTGATGGGCAGTGCTGGCAACGCGACCATCTCCACGGTCAGCTCCACGCAGCGGAAGCGGCAGCAGTACGGGAAGCCCAAGAAGCAGGGCAGCACGACGGCCACACGCCCGCCCCGTGCCCTGCTCTGCCTGACCCTAAAGAACCCCATCCGGAGGGCCTGCATCAGCATCGTCGAGTGGAAGTATCCTTTGGGTTTGGCCGTGTGGCCTGCGGCGGGTTGTTCTCAGACCCTTGGGTCGGTCACCGGGCGTGGTTGGAATGCAGAGTTCTAGGCCCTCCCCAGCCTTGAGTCAGCGCCTCTGGGGACGGGGCCTGGGAAGCTGCTTATAGAGCCAGCTCCTCGGGGATTGCTCCGTACACAAAAGAGTGTTTAAGGAAACAAGACTAAGGGGTTGTTTCTCCTCGCTTGATGGGCTGAGCTTGCTCAGGGCTCACTCAGTGAGGGTTGACATGTCACCTCCTCCTGATCTGTGGGCTGGCACAGCCGTGAATTTGGAGGAGCCCATCAGTGTTCCTTGGGGGGTTGGGACGAAGCGCAGGTGTCTGAGCTCTGCCCGGGCCTGGCTGAACTCTCCAGGTGCGGCTGGGTTGGGGACCACCAGCCGGGGGGATGACACAGACCCCGTGTCTGCACAGAACCCGGTGAGCGCAGGCTGCAGAGGCCGAGGCTTTGAAGGGCTGGGCTCTCACGGAGTGATCCCACCCAGGAATCATGGGGTGGGGGAGATGGGAAGGCCCCTGAGGGTGAGTGCGTGTGCCCCGGACTTCCCCAGTGAGGACACGGAGCCTGCAGGTTGGCACAGACAGGACTAGGACCCCGGACTCAGTGCCAGGCATTTTCCTAGGAAGAAGCCATCTGGGCAGGCCCGTCACGTCTCCTGGGGTTTAGGGCGGGTGTTAGGTTTCATTGACGACTTTCCATGGAAAGATTTACAAGTTTTGGGAGTGGATGAAAGGTATAAGGAGATGACTTGAGACAGAAGGACATTTCTGTTTAGCAAGAAATGTTTGTTCTGTCAAAGCCTGAACCCCTTAAGTCCCAAATCACTTGAGAGGAGGTGGCCTAAGCCCGGCATAGCTGCAGAGCTGGGCAGCGGGTCCCGAGGCCGAGGCGTCCACTGCCTGGCTCAGAAGCTTGGATCTGTGGGTCCCCATCCGGCTGCTGTCAGCAACGCTTGGTCAGGGCTGTGAAGGGGCAGCTGGGCCATGTGTCCAGGGTGGGGCAGGGGGCCGGGAGGAGCTGAACTCGCTCTAACCACACCAGAGATTCAGATCCAGGTGCCCTGGACTCACATCCCCGCTCCCTCTCCCCATGAGTCCTGAGTTTAGGAGAAAGGCACTGGTGGGGGGTGGGGGGGTGGTTGGGGGAGGCCACGAGGAGGCCAGCAGCTCAGCGGGGCCCCAGGGGGACTGGACCTGGGTCTGAACTCCCAGCTTACAGTGGGCATCTTCTCTCCACCATGCAACCTTGCTTACTGGCCTGAGTGGTTTCTGAGCTTTAACACAAGGTGATGAAAGGATAGCCTGAATTTGGAGGCTGGGGGCCGTCAGAGCAGGAGACACCTGGACTCAGCTGCCACCCACCTATGGCGAGGGGACAGGTTGACATTTGAGGCCTAGCTCTTGTCCTGGTTGCCGGGGGGAGTCCCAGGGCAGATGAGGGGAACCAAGATGCCCAGCCTGGGCTGAGTGGGGACAGGGCAAGAGGGAGGAGGCCATGTGGGAGGGGGCCTGAAAGAGCCAATTTCCTAAAAACACTTAGGGTGGGACTTCTCTGGAGGTCCAGTGGTTAAGACCTCACCTTCCAACGCACGTGATGTGGGTTCGATCCTTGGTTGGGGAACTAAGATCCACGTGCCTCCCAGCAAAAAAACAGAACAGTAAAGTAGAAGCAATAATGCAACAAATTCAATAAAGACTTGAAAAAATGGTCCACCAAAAAAGTTCCCATAAAACTTTAACAGCAACAATTGCTTGGGATGATTTCAGAGTGGATCAGTGTAGAAGACTCCTGACAAATTCAGACTTCAGAGCCAGACTTTCTGGTCCAACCCCATCCTACCCCAGCGAGGGTGACTCTAGGCAAGTTGACGCATCCCGTCACCTTCTGTTTCCTCGTGTAGGAGTGGGGTGACAACTGCCCACCATGCTGCGGTTTGAGCAGGGAGGTCAGAGCAGGGCCTGGGGGGCAAGGCTTTGGTCAGCATCAGCGCCCAGCCTTCCTCCCACCAGCATCCCAACTCCCCACGCATCCCTGGCCAGCTCAAAGGCAGCACGGCCTGCTGGAAAAGATGAGTCAGGAGCTCTGGTTCAGACCTGACTCCGCTATTTGCCAGCTCGGCCCTGGGAGACGCTGCTTTGTTTTCTGGGTCTGTCCAGTGGAGAGGCTGGGCGCCTGCTGCAGGTGTTCTCGATAGCAAGGTGCACACAGAAACTGACAGTGTTTAGGGGCATGCTGGGTGAGCGGATGCCCAGCTCCGCCCTCGGGGCCAAAGGGACCCACCCCTAGGCAGCACAGTGTCTAGGGGGCCCTGTACTGGAGGATCACTAATTCCTTCCAGGCCCCAGGCTGCCCTGAGAACTCAGATCCTGGGACGTCCATGGCAGAGGAGTGGACAGTGGACTCTGCAGGCAGGGGTCTGGGTTCTGGCCTGGCAGGTCAATGCCTGCTGTGGGTCTTGGGAGTTTCTCAGGCTCCCTGGGCCTCAGGGGTTTGGACCAGGCCATCTCCAAGGCCTTTGTCTGCTTCAGGACTTGTGAGCTCTGCAAGCCCAGGCTTCCCTGGAGATGGAAGCAGTCCCTCCCCCCATGAATGGCCGTCCTCTTTCTCATCCTCCTCTGGTGAGGTTCCATGGACTGGGCTGGAAACAGTGGCTGTGTTGAGGAGGAGGGGAAATGGGGCTGGAAGAGCATGAGCCAGGCCCTTCCTCTGAAGTGCCCCCCACACCCCCACCCCATGGCCTTCCATTGAGGGTGTAGGGCAGAAGGTGTATGGTCACAGTTGCTCATTTTTGCATCTGCCTGATATTTTGATGCAGAGATCCGGGCACAGGGACCTCCTTAAGGGTTGGGGAGTGAGGCTTGGCTTAACCCCATGCCCCCCACCCTCCAAACCCCAGCACAACCTGCAGCAAGTCAGGAGACCCTGGGATGCAGGCCGCCCCATCCCCACCCCAAAAGCAGGACCTCAGTAGATGGAAGAGACCCCTGCACCCAGCTGCCATCCCCTACCCGCACAGCTCATGCTGCTCTGCTGCTGGGGTCCAGAGCCCCTAGCCACCTTCAGGCTCTCTGGAAGCTGTCAGAGAATAAGGAGGAAGAAAAGAAAAGACTCTGAACTTCAACTTAAAAGATTGAAAGTATTATCTGCAAATTTCGCTGAAGAGTCAAAGTCAAGTCTCTGCCTTGAGCCCCACAGGGTCTGCCTGTTTCAAGCCAAGCCTTGTCGGGCCCCCAGTGCAGGCAGGCGAGCCCACGGGCAGGGCGGCCCGGGAAGGGGTGGGCGGGGGCGAGTCCCGGCTGGAGCAGGCCCCAATCTTTAAAAGCAACCCCGTGCACACATGAGGGAAAATGAAGTCCAGTGCAATCTAAACAAATAAAAGAAGGGAAAAAAGTTTTAGAAATCTGTGTTTACTCTGGCACGCGACTGGCCTCCACTGCTTTTGACATATTAGGAAAAATTTTGGCGGAGCCCCATTAGAAGCACTTAAAAAGGCATATGTTTCTTTTCAGAACACAAGGGGCTTGGAATGTATTGTTTAAACAAAATTCTTATGAATCTTCATTAAAAAAAAAATATATATATATATATATATCTGTGTGTGTTTGTTTCACTGGTGCTTCCCGTGGCTTTAATTCCTTAACTCCCTCTCCCCAGGCCATTTGAAATCATTATTTTACTGACTATTTTTGCCAATTGTGTGGCCTTAGCGATCTATATTCCCTTCCCAGAGGACGACTCCAACGCCACGAATTCCAACCTGGTAAGTGCACTGCCACGTGCCCACCTCTGTACAATGGCAGTGGGGGCTAAGCTTGGACCACGTGGATGCAAACGGGAACATGCTTGATGTTACAAAAGTTGGCCGAGCTTGGATGTCAAGGTCTCTTTTTTCACATCAGCACCTGTCTTATCTCAACCTGTTGTGAGAAAGACTGTTGCGGTCAGGCGGTTGTGAGCAGGGTGCGTGCGAGTGTGAGTTCTGAGCAATGGCCCGTGGGTGCTCTTTCCACCCGCATCCTGGAAGGGCAGGTGTCTGCTGGAGTGAGTGTGCCTTCTGGATCCTCTGTCATGTTTGCTCCCAGGGCCGTCATTCCGCTGAGGGGGCTTTGCTCAGGTGATTCGTAGGCTTGGTGCTCGAAAAGTAATTTCTAGGAAGCTTGTAGGAAAGTTTGCTTTTGCAGCCAAGATGGACTATTTAGTTAAGGTTTTATGTTCTTGGGAAAGGCGGCTTTCCCTCTGGATGGTCGGGAGGCCAGTGCTGGCAGTTTGGGGTTAGAACGTGTCCATGGAAAAAGCGTGGAGAGTGTTTACTCTGTGCTGAGTCTGAAGTCATCACAAAGCCATCTGGGCACAGAGGGGGCTGTGGAATGCAGCTGGCCCGACCAAGTGCCTCGCGATCCTGGGCCGCCCGCCGGCTGGGGGAGGTCCTGCATCTCCCCTCCCCTGCCAGGACTCCAGAGCTTCTCACATGACCCCACAAAGCGTCTCCTGGGTCGTTGGCAGCTTCCTGTAGTTAGTGATGGGGGACAGTTGGTGGTTGTTTCTGCAAGAAGCAGGAGAGTACCCGGGCCTCCTTCTCCTGTCGCCAGCCTCTCTTAATATCACAGGGTATCAATTCTTGTGCTTTTTAGTCTGACATTTTCTTGGGCCTCTGTAGCTAGTGTGTCTGATGCCTGTTTGGACTTCACGGCCTTTGCCTGGTTGTCTCAGGGAGCCTGGGCTGTGTGTGGGGTCAAGCTCCAGAGCTGGCTGGCGAGCTGAGCGATGACAGGGCAAGCAGAGCCTCGGCCCAAGTCCACGTGGCCTGCCGAGGTGTGACCTTGTGTCAGAAGGCAGGAACTCTTCGCTGTGTCAAAAGAAACACACCAGGGGTGTCCCAGAGGCCCCCGGAAAAAGCAGGGCCTTCCTTGGTGCCACTTCTTCTCTGAGTATCATTTTACGTAACTGCCCCCACCGCCAACCGACCCATCTTCCGTGAAACCCTACAGCCTCTCAGTTAATCTGCAACTTAGAAAAAGACTCCGAGGCCTGTTTGGCAGCCAGTGATGTTTTGGGTCGACTCTGGGCCAAGGCTCAGAGGGGGTTGCTCTCATCTTAGGTCCCAGAGACGGCCCCTCACCCTGAGTCCATGAGGGTGGGGGGTGTACAGGTGGGCGCTGTGGGTGGCTGAGTGCTGCTGGCACCTCCTCATGCTGGGCAAGAGGAGCAAGGGGTCCTAGGATGTCCTCCGGGCTGGAGCGGAGGGACTGTGGTTTTAAGATCACTTCACAGGGTGATGGACAAGCTCTGAAACTAAGCAGTGGTGATGGTCATACAACTGTATGGGGCAGATTTCCTGGTATGTAAGTTATACCTCAGTTAAGCTGCTCTGAGTAAAGGGTGACCCTGCACAAGCTCATGCTAGTCCAGGCTGCACCACTGGTCCGTCTTCCATCTTCCCCCATGAGAGCTAGCCCACGTGGTGGAGGGGAGGTGGTGGGGGGCAGCCAGGACTTGGGGAACCTTACAGTAGGAATCAGGGTACACCAGAGAATGTGGGGGCTGAGAGGGGGTTCTAGTTGCTAAGGCAGTTGCTGCCTCTCTAAAGCTCCGGATTGGGCAGTGACTGTAAAGTAGGGAAGTGTGCTCGCATGATGGAGAGTTTCCTCCAGCCTAAACACATATACAGAGACACACACACACACACATATACAGAGACACACACAGACATGTACAGAAACACACAGTCACACAGATACACATACACACAGAGACACAATATACACAGATACACACAGTCACACATATATCAGACACAGACACACATACATGTACACAGACACACACATCACTTATATACACAGATATACTCACAGAAACATATACACAGAGACACACAGACACCACAGACATACATGTGCACATACAGTCACACATATACATCATATACACAGACAGGCACATATACACACAGTCACACTATACACAGATACTCACAGTCACACATATATACAGACACAGACACACATACATGTACACACACAGTCACACAGAAGACACATAGACACATACACAGATGCATGCATAAACACAGAGACACACATACATGTACACAGACACACGCAGTCACACATATACGCACAGTCACACATATACACAGACACACGTACATGTACACAGACACTCAGAGACACACACCTATACAGACACACATTTTGAAAATTCCTCTCAGTGGGTGAGGGGGGTCAAGAGATGCCTTCAGCCTGAAGAAGGTCAGCTTTAACGGGATGAGGGGCGGTGACCGAGGAACCTGTGGACAGAGCAGGAAGAGATGCAGTGGGCAGGTGTCAGGCAGGACTCCAGAGACACTTCCTGCTGGGGAGGCGGGGAGGACTGAAGGAGCCCCAGGCCGGGCTCTGAGCACCTGGGGCAGGTGCAGGGGAAGGGTGGTGCAGGTGGACAGGAGGAGCGATGGGGCCACCAGGAAGGTTCTGCCTGAGAGTCGGAGGGAGATGGCGAGCGCCGAGTCTTCTAAGCTCGAGAAACAGAGATTTAAACCCATAGTAGACGGTGGGGGCTGGTTCACACTTACGTGGCTGGCAGCTCCAGGCCTACAGTGCGGAGAGTGGGCTGGGGCGCCAGGCGGAGCGGGGGCTTTGGGTTCGTAACCTCTGGAACCCTGAAGCCGGGGTGCATGCGGCTTTTTATGGAGCTTTGAGGACCAAAGCCGTCCCCTTGTCCCACCAGAACGTGGCCCCCAAATCACTGACAGGCCCCTGAAAGGAAGCTGGACAACCTCCCATGACTCTCATGGCTTTTTTAGAACAAGAAACTGCAGTTGCAGAGTTCTGCTCAGAGACGGAGGCAATACTGCACCTACAGCAGAGGACCTGGGACCTCAGAGCCTGTGGATCCCCTTGGGTGTGGCGGGGAGCAGCTACAGTGTGAGCCCCCGGGGCCCAGAGTCCATGGGTTTAACTGGCGCCCCTGGCGCCCCTGCTGCTGGGAGTCACCGGCTGCTCTTTGGGAAAAGCGACCCAAATGTTCACCCTCCTGCAAGTGGGGCCCCGTCAGCTTGCCCTCTCCCCATGGCTCTCTCTAGGGTCCAGACAGAAAGAGAAGACACGTCAGCTGCCCAGAGGTGTGTCCTCTGTCGAGTCCAAGAATAACTCACTTAGCAAAGACCCTCACTGTCCAGAAGGAGGGGGTCCCCCTGACACCTGCGGGCCCACAGCCACCCTCCTGCTCTCGACTTCCTTCCTTCCTCCCGCCCGGTTCCTTCTCCCTGCAACCTGCTTGATACAACCCCTGTTTATTTTCCCAGCACTTTGCTTTTTTTCTCCTTCCAGGAGTTGAGAAGTGTTTCAGTATGGAATTTTTTTTTAATGGTCTTTTTCTCATTATTTAAGTAAAAGTCTGTTTGTTTTATGCTCCATCTAACATACGCCGTCGCACCCAAATCCGTCATCTTTGTTATCTTTTCCTGGTGCTAGTGAAGCAGAAGGAAACGTGAACATGGCACTTCTTTCTGCATTTTTCACGGCCTTGTTGCTGGCAGTGCGACCTGCCAGGCAGAGCATCCTGTAGAAATAGTATGTGAACCCCCCCACACCCTTGCTGGTGGCTGCTGCCCTGCAGGTAAATTGGACGAGGTCTCCTGAGCTCTGTTGCTGTCAGGGTGGACTCATCGTGTGTGGAAAGCTCCCAGCTTCCAACAGACCCTGAAGTCGGCTCAGACTTGGATTGGGTTGAAATATTAAGAGAATGTATTTGGCATCTGACCTTGTGCAGACAACAGAGCTGTGTTGGGCTTTCTGAAGCCAGAACCAGGTGGTTCCAGAGGGGCCAGGGGCAGAGGAGAGGCCAGAGGAGGAGGCACGGGGGCTGGGGCGGGGGGGATGGGCTCAGCAGAAGGGCCCAAGTGTCGGGGAGAAGGCAGGACTTTCCAGTTTCCCATTTATGCTGTGAGATGGGGCGGCCCCGGCTGGTTGTAAGGATGGTGAGTTCAGGCCTGGGGGCCGTCAAGGTGCTGGCAGAGGCCGTGTGTGCTGGTCGGAGAGCTCACAGCCCGAGCCTGGAGCCCCTTTGTCTGGTCCTGGATGCAGGTCCCACAGGGCCCTTTGGGAGAGCTTTTGTGGGCAAGGAGACACACAGGCTCTTGGTTTCTGGAACCCTCACCCACAGAGGATGTCTGGGCTGCCACTCGCAGGTCTCAGCACACAAGGAGAGAGGCAGAGAGGCCTCGTGGCTAAAGAAGGGTCCCTGAGGGGCAGCCGTCCACCACAACTCCCCCTGCAGGGACCATGTTTGTCCCTGCTGGCCAGCTCAGGGGCCAGATCTTGCCTGAGCCTGTGGGGTCCACTTCCAGACTGCGCTGGGCTGAGGACACCCCACGGCCTGTATTTAGGATGCATCAAGGTGTGTGTTTGGGAAGCAAGCAGAGATGTGGGCTCAGACCCTGGTCCTCCTACAGTGAGCTGGGCCTTCTTGCACCATCAGGTCTGCTGAAGGGTGAGATGTTTCTATGGGGCCTGAGTGCATCGCAGCAGAGTCGGGGCCGGTGTGTGTGGTCCCCAGGCGTGGGAAACCCACGGATAGGTGATGGCAGGTGGCCCTCATCGCCGGTCCTGTCTGTGGGTACTCAAGGTGGGGGTGTGGATGGGGTGGCTCAGAGCTCAGCCCAGCTCCTAACCAGGGCCTCGGGGAAACATTTCACTGAGGCAACACACCCCCGCCCCCCACCCTAGCCCTGCCCTCGGGTCTGCTGAGTTGGTCTGGGCA